TTCTTACTTTTTAGATAGCCCTTCTACTTTACCTTATACTATACTCGTCGGCCTATACGTCCCTTTATAACTAACTGCTCGACTTTAAACTCCCTACTTCTATAATTAAGTAAAAGGACTCTATTACGGTTGGTTTTAGCATACCTATTAAGGGGTAGGCTTTAGCGGGTTATTCTTTTAGTAGTATCGTCTTTATTTAAATTAAAGTTTATGTTAGCAAAGCCGGTGGCGAAGTTACTCTACTTTTTGTAAAGTAGTATATAAGGCTATATAGGAATTCTGTTAGTCTTACTGTTTTCCTTTATAGTGCTTAGGGGAGTGTAAGGGTTATAAAGCACATTTAGGGTAGCAGTTAAAAGGAGCAAGTATATTAACTTAAAAGTGTTTTATACTATTCTTTTTATACAAAGCGCTTAGATTTGCTTTTATATAATTGCCTAGTTTTAAACAATCTAGGGTAATAGCCTAGTTTGTTTCTTCCTTAGATAAAATAGACGATAGTAGGGTGCTGTAGCTAGATGGTACAACATTGCTAAGCACGGTTTTTGGGTCGTTACTAAGCTTAGTTTCCTAAGACGGATTTAGGATTGCTAAGCACAATTTGTTTACACTATAAGCAGCAATGCTAAAAACTCCCTAAGGACTTAGCTATAGTATATTATCCTCTTCTAAATCGCTATCCTATATTCTTACTAACTTCTTTAAGGGCGGCGAGAGGCTATTATTATTTGTGTATATAGGCCGCTTCGTTTTCGTATTATGCTCGATGCTCTTAATTCCAAAGGCATCTTAAAGGTGGGATTATAGCTTTAAGACGGAGTTAAACGCTCTTAGGCAGTGTTTGTACTAGTAAGGACAATGCACGGGCATTAGGCTATTCTAAAGACTTTTAATATAAATTTATATATGTTTATACTAGTTAAACCGCTACTTAAATTAACACATTTATACTATGGCTAGCAACTGTGTATTCTCTAAATAGAAGGGGCAAAATCTTGCTATAGTAAGGACTCCTTTATATATAAGAGGGTTATACTAGGTAGGAAGGCTCTTTAGGTTTTTAAGGTAAAATTAGCAATGTTGTTACTAGGTAGTTCTTTTATAAAACCACTTAGAACAAAGAAAGCAAAGCTTTAAGAAGTTATAAACTTTAGCTTTAGTTTCTTTATAGCATTTGTATACATATCGCTATTCGTAGGTGTTGCTACTTCCGTACTAGCACTTATTAGGCTCTAACCTAGGTTAGAAGTCTACATTTGTAAGCTTGCAATAAAGAGCCAGCATATTACGAAGCACGGTAAGACTAGTAGGACTCCGTAGCGTATTAATTGCAAATATGTTTTCTGCTAAAAGGTCCCTCTCCGGCATAAGAAACCGGACACAGTTAAATATAGCCTTATAATATCCTAGTAGGTCGTTGTAACTAACTATTTGCTTTTTTTGCTATTCCCGTAGCCGTTTTAATGGAAGGTTTCGCTTCTCTTTATACAGCTTTCTCCGCTCCTCTAAAACGTTGCTGCTAACACTATTCCGTAGTGTAATGAGTTTTTCGTTAATACGAAGAATATCGTAGCTATGCTTAAGTTTATATTTCTCTTTTATAGGCAGGCATTATAATAAGGTTAGGTTTTAGGGTATTGTTAATCTACAAAAGAGATTTAGGACTAAAGTACGTCTCTCTTAGCTATAATAAGCTGCTTAGCTATTTACACTATTGTAAGAGAGGTAATGTCTTGCTATAGTGTTTAGGTTGGTATGTTTAGCATATACTATTCTTATAGCCTTAGATTTAAACTAGTCTATAGAATATAAGGTTAGTAAGGCTAAGAGAGTTAATTAGTTTGCACGTACTTATTAAATAAAGACCCTTTGCACAAATATTATAGTTTCTTAGCGGCGTTATATAGCTAGCTTAAAACCCTAACTAATGCACGCGTTTACTAAAGACAGTTATAGTCTTAATGTTGTTACTTAACTAACTTTTAAAAAGTAGAGTGTTAAGGAGTTCTTTTCTCTAACCTATTACTATTATTTCATCGTCTAGCAGCACGACTATTAGAAGGTCGTTAATGCTATAATAATCCTAAAAGGCATTATAGTTAAGAAGCCGCGTAAGGAAAGGGAGCAAGGGATTAAAGCAAAGTAGGCTAGGCAATCGCCCTTTATACAATGCGTACTGCGGCCTAATTTTAATAGTATTAGAGTATTGTTTAGCAACTTTATTAGCGCTCTTTATTACCTTTTGTTAGGCGTAACGGTTATATTTTTAGTATTGCGGGTAAGTTAAATAGTAAATTTAGGATGTTTATCCTTATTAATAAAAGTAACAAACATAAGGTCCTTAACTTAATTAGCATTTGCTTTATCTTTTATACGCTATTATATCTATACCTTAAAGTATAAACCTTAGCCGGTGCCTCTTTAGCAGCTAAACTTAATGTACTTGCTAATTTTAGATAAGGAGTAGGCATTTCCTAGTAAAAGGCCCTAGTTAGCAACTAGCGTTGCTAAATGTTTATACTTAACCTAATCTGTTGCTTATAGTTGCTTAGCAAAGTTTAGGAGAACGGTTTTAGTAGCAAACCTATAAGGCCGTTTCGTTTTTAGCATCTTTATCTTGTTTGTTAAAGGCCTATTAATAAACTAAAGAAGAGGTTAAAAATTTAATTGTTAATAATAAAGAAATATAAATATAGTACTTACATAGGTAACGAATAACGCTAAAGCACGCAATATCGGTCGGTTAGGGTGCTCTTACTACTAAGCTGCGGTAAAGGCGTTCTATTTCTTCTGCACCGTCTCTAAGCTAGGGATATTAATCCCTTCTGCTTTATTAATACTATAAGCAATCGTTCTAATAAACCCTTTTAAGGACTTTAAGTTATATAGTAATTTAGTTAGGTGTAGCCTCTTATATCTACACGTCTAAGGTTAACAAACAATTACGTGCTATAAGACAAACAAGAACTTATTAATATACTTGGCCTAAAAATCTATTATCTTCACATAGGTCCTTAAAACTAACGGTTAAAGTGTTTAAAAAACGAACTTATAGTTTACTATATCGCTTTTTTTTCTAACGATTCTCTAGGAGCCTAAGCGCAGCTTATTAGCTACGCTCGTCGCTTTTAGCATTAGAAAAGGTTGTGTATAGAGCGAAAAGAAGGAGATTAAGAATTTAAAAATGTTTTAGCTTTCTTAAATACTATTATAAGAAAATAAATAGAAACTATAAGTAGTACAAAAGGGATTAGGGTTTAAATACTAAACTAAAGCCTACAAATATTATAGTGTTTACAAATAGACATACGGTAGATACTTAATGTAAACAAATAAGCCCTTAAGAGTAGGCCTAAAAACTACTACTCTTAAACGCTAGATAGTCCCGTTAAAATATTGTATTAAGTGTATATAAAGAAGCTAAGCTAACTACTACATACCGCAGGGGCGCAAAAGTGTGCGGCGCCGGTCACGTAGACCGGGCGGGGCGCAACATATAGGTCCTAAAATAAGGCCCTAGCCATCCTTCTACTTAAGTTGTTACAGCTTTCGCAGGATTGTAACAAAGCACAACAAATAATCGAGAGTTAGGTGCCCAAATCTAGGATTCAGAGCCATCATAACCCCATTCGCGTAAGGGCCGATCAGGGCTGAGCAGAGCTGATAAGGACTGATTAAGGCTGATTAGGAGCTAAGACAAAGCTGAGCCAGGCATGGAAAACCGTTAAAATAGGCCACGAATAACAAGTCACGTGTTGGGTTACGTCTAGTGTTCTAATACCAGAATACTCTAAACCAAGATATGTCCTGGAGGATAGCGTCAAATCAATTTTCCTTACCCTATTTTACGGAGTACATCGTAACTTTGTCATTAAAGTGGAGCTTAGGTCTGCACGGATACATTATATCTTACATAGTACTCCGTACGGAGTACGCCAAGACCGGTTAAGGTTTCCCACTTAATGCCAATTTGCGAAGAGTTTATCTGTTTTACGCAATACATGAAGGCTGGAAACCGAAAGTTCACAGTCGTAACAAAGTGAAATAAGGCAACTCTGCAAATGGTATGTAATTTACTCCGGATCACATACACGTAACATCACGTATCTTACCTTTAATCCGAGAACAGCTAACAGTGGCGGCTCGGATAAGTCCAAGCTAAAACGATAGCTTAGGAGATGTGTGTGGTAGAGCATGTTTACTGGTGGGGCCTGGCAGTAAATCCCGCAGTGACAGTGCCGGTTGTGACCTGCCTTTTACGACGTAAGATACTGACTTCTTCAAGTTGTGCAATGCCTGTGAAGTTCAATGCATACGAGTACATTGCGACTTAATTAAGCTATCTCTAGATATAGATTTGATCTTCAATCTACCTTCTTCTTCTGTATGTATCTTGCCATGGTAATCGACACCCAGCAGACGCTAACCATGCACACTTTGTCAGCATAGCATAAGTACAAATAATATGCAAGGATGATCTTGCAGCCAATCGACAGCTAAGCGCTAGGTAGGTAGGAAAGAAAGTCCGTTCGGAGTACTGACAAACCAACCTGGGTCTTCTCAAACTGCGATGTGGATTTTTCATGGGGCCTTCCCGCATGATAATCTATAATCAATGCATGGGTTTTCTTACGGAATTGGAACTGTAAGAAAGAAAATGACAACACTGGTCTCGGAACACTAAAAAGCCTAACGTACCTTGTGGCAGTACACCTGCATGTATAATCGTGTACGGAGTACAAATCCACGTATATAGAGCTGTCATTAACAAGCTTATCCTTGCTACATGCCTGTATCTCCTTACCCGGCAGATAAATCGCTATTTACTCCCTGACTTGGATTGTCTTAGGGGGCGGTATGGGTCGGGAGATGACGGGGAGTGATGCACACCTCTGCCTATATAAGTGGCTTTGGTATCCTGTCATATTTCTATATTTTTTTTATCTTCGTCTCCCATGCTTTACAGCTCGTTCCCCTCAATTTCCGCCATTTATTGACTTATGCATTCTTTTACCTTTGTGAGCTGCCTCATTGGCCTACTGCTGCCTTGTTCACAGGCCAAAACGGCTTGGCAGTACCGGAACTATACATTTGCAGTGCCTGAACAGCCAGAGTCTACATTTGGTTCAACAAACTTCAGCTCCAAAAGCGATGCCTTGTCTGCTTTGACGACAGCCCTAGGAAACACCTCCCTAGTGGCCTACCCTGGCGACGTCAGTTACGGCTCGACCATTGCACGCGTCTGGACCAAACAACGCCAGACATGGCCTGATGCTATCGTGTACCCCGAGACAGCAGCGCAGGTCAGCATTGTGATGCAGTTCTACTCGGTCCATTATGCCCTCTGGGGCGACGAGGGATTTGCTATCATGGGCGGTGGTCACGCTGATTTTGGCGGTGCCCAGTCGAGCAGTGTTATTGTTGATCTCCAGAAGCTGGGCAGCACTGAGACTGCTGTCAACGCTACTGCGACCAACGCGACAGCAAGTGACCCAGCCAGCTGGCCCATTTTAAAAATAGGCGGCGGCGCCGAGGCTGGCGACGTTTACAGTGCACTCGAAGGTACGGGTTGGGCATTTCTCGGTCCACGTGCAGCGTCCATTGGTGTGGGTGGCTTCTTGCTTGGCGGTGGCATTGCTTTTCAGACGAACCGTTACGGCGTGGCCTCGGATTCCATTGTGGGTGCCGAAGTCGTCTTAGTCAATGGTACTATAGTCTATGCGAGCCCAGAGAATGATTGCAGCGACCTATTCTGGGCTATCAACGGCGGCGGCTGGCTCGGGTACGGTGTTGTGACACATTTCTACGTCCGTGCCTATCCGGACCCCGGCAATGCCCTGGTGGGTACCATTGTTTTCGGCGAGGACCAGGCTGAATCCGTATTTGAGCGTGCAGCCAACTGGTGGACCGACAACAACAACCCTGATGCATTTCCAGCACTTCTCTACTACTTCAAAGATCCTAGCACACCCACATCACTGGTTCCTGTCCGAGAGCGTCAATACGTCTTCCAGCTCAATGCTCTATACTTTGGTGGAGACCAGGCCCAATTCAATGAGTCGTTCGGCGCCTTCTACGATGGCGCCAGCAGCATCTCATTTTCGAACTACACCATCAAAACAGTTGACCAGTACCTTTTGACCAACTACCCCTACGGCTACAACCGTGAATTCTACGGAAAGAGTCATACCAACTCTACCAAGGAATTCTACCGAGATATATGGGGTCACTACAAGGAGCTTATCCAAGGCCTGCTCTCACGTGGCGAGGACCCTGGCCACACTATGTGGGTGGACGAGTGTATGTCTACAACCCTCTTCCTTTCGACACCATAATACTCCGTAGAGCTGTGCTAATATTACTCTGATGGCCCTCTCTAAAGACGTTTTGCCTGGTTGGGGTGGATCCGGCCCCGAGTCGGATTCTCAGACAGCTTGGCCCCACACAACGAGTGCCCATATCACTCTCACATCGGGCGAATGGAGCAACAACACCAACACGGCCTTCATGCATGCGGAAGACAAATCTATAATGGGTTACTTACGTGATTTTCAAAGTAGCTACAACGAAACTCCCACGATTTACGACTATCCTAACTACATGTAAGTTAGCATCTCGCCGGTCTCTCCTGGTACGTGTTTTAATTTTGTTCCTACAGTGCACCTCATAGTGTAACGGAGGAGATCTGGGGGGCGGATAACTTTGCGCGGCTCCTCACGACTAAGAACGCCTATGACCCATACTGCTTGCTTAACCGTGGGCGTGTTATCAACACGGCGGCTTGTGTATCCAAAGGGCTCGCCAACACATCAATTTAGGGGCGGTATCTTCCCTAGCCGTACATACCATAGATGCATGTTATATATATCGTCCTAGTATTCCACTTTGGCGACAATTACTTTTCAGAAGCTTTACGTAATGTACCACCACGCTATTATAAGAACGCAATATGAGGTTTCCTAGCTAAACAGGCATACAATTTCGAATTAATTAAGTCTTTCAAAGCATTTTGCTAAGATCGATTGCTCCTACGTAATAAGATAATCCAATATTAATCATGCGTAATCGCTTAGACTAGTTACTATCTAATAGAAAGCGAAAATTATAGTATTAGTGATTGTTATAGAAGAAAAAGCATAGGATTTTTTCAGAAGGAAGCTAAAGCTAGTAGATATACTATAGCAGTAAAAAGTCTACACAGAAACCTAGAAGGTTACGTGCAACTAAGCCTCTTACTGTCGCAGTGCAAAAGAACGAAAATATATATAAAATCGGTCTAAATAGGGCCTTATAAGAAGTAGTGTGCAATATTAGCGTATTAGATGTATAATAAGCAATAGTAAGAAATAGGGCGTAGATAGTGCGTACAGGAGACCTTTAAAGGTAATTAACAAGCTAAAAGAGTATTATAAAATAGCACTTAAAATAAATAAGTCTTAGAAGAGGATAAATAAGGGGTAATTAGCGCAGATTAAGGCGTAGAAGCTAAATAAAATTATAGTACTTGTCTTTACGCAAAGCCTTTATAAGCCTATGTATAATTATTTCGTCTATACTAACGTGCTAAAGGCGAAAAGCCTAGGCTACGACTTGCTTAATAATTTATTTAAAGCAAATATTAATATATTAAGTACGTCCTTACTTATTAAGATTTAATACTGCAGCTAATGCGTTAAGACTATTTATAAATTAAAGTAAAAGCGTAAAGATATAAGGGTTATATACAATATATAGTTATAAAGGCTTTAAACTAGTTTATACTATTATATTAAGACTTTAACGTAACAAACTATAGAAGACTAGTAGGCAAGAGCTTGCCGTCTAATTTATACGTAAACAAAAGGTGCGTAATAGCGTAACCCTAAAAGAGTATAGTATAGTAAAGTAGCTATATACTGCCTTACATACGTATTAAGGTAGTTTGTTAAGTTTAACGCTTAGTAAGCAATAGGTTGCTAAACCGGTACATAGGGCGCGTGTATAGAATACTCTTATACTATCTCTTTTCTTTTAAAGTAACGCTTTTATTAGTAAAAGGTATATACGTAGCAGCTGCTTACTTATTATGAACCCTTTTCTAGTAAAGTTAAGAAAAAAAGTTAAGTGCTTTAAGTTATTAGCTGTTGCTAAGCGGTTATAGACTGCTTACTATATAATTGCATTCTTATATTATAAAAGCGTATATATACTGCTTAGTTTATAGCGGAAGTAATCGCTAAATCTAGCTTAGTATAAAGGCTATCTTATTTTATTAAAGCTTTTTAAAAGGCGTATAGCTTAGATCTTAGTTAAGGAATACTTAAGTTGCTGCTAATAAGGTGTTATAAAGAGGCTAGCCTTAAATATTAATTATATAAGGGTATAGTGCGCGCTAACTAAAAATAGTATCGTATAGTTAAGATTTGTAACTAATAGTAATAGTAAGATAAAGGTAGTAATGGCTATTTATTACTTACTAATTATAAAACTATTATTTACTATATAGTAAAGGTAGTTTACTACTAAAACGTCTTTTTACTTAATTTTAAACGTTGTTTACCCCACTAATAAAGTAAAGTTAATAAGTCTTTAAGATGTATTTAAAAGTTTTATTTTATAGATCCTTAAAGTATAAGAAGATTAAGTAAATTTTATAATTTAAAGCAAAATTTGATTAATCTTATAAGACTACTCTTACTTCTTTAGCCTTTTTTTTTAAATCTTACTAAGTAGTAAGTTAATATAATAGTTTATATAATAAGATAACAATAATCTAATACTTGTTTATAAAATAATATTAAATTCAAGCTACTTTTAAGTCTTAATAACCTTCTTTATAAACGTAAATCTTATAAAACGCTTAGTATAAGTATACGCACTATTTATAAATAATATAAGTTTTTAATAGTATAGCGCTTACTAAGTAATAGCTAAACTTATAGTAAGGCTTATACCTTAATTGTATCTTAAAAGTATATCTTAACATTTACTATAGATTCTTATAGCAACTCTTAAGAACCTAGCGCGTTATATTAAGTATAAAGCTAATAATACGTTATATCTCTTTATAAGTGTATTAACGTATATATACTAGTAGATAATTTCTAACTAATAGCTTTTTAAGAAGATAAAGAGCCTAGCCTACTATATTTAATAGTTTCTTACCAATATAAATAAGCTATTTTTGTAAAATAGCATAGTTAATAATATAGTAATAGCGCTTATAGATTACGTTATAATTTCCTAGCGTTTACTAGCGTTAAATATAGTAATAAAAGAGCTAAGCTAAGCCTTATAAAAAGATAAGTTAAAACTATTAGCAGTTAACTAGCAGTTACGTAAAGAGCGCTTTAAAACAGCTTAGTATACTACACTAGTACTAGTAAAAGCTAAAGCTAACCTTAACGCTTGCCTAGTAAGCGGCAAAAGTCTTTTAGCTTTTATTACTTCTATTTTTTAATATTAGTATACCTTCTTAAGCTTAAACTTAAGTTACTATATTTTTAAAAGTAATAGCAAGTCTTTTTAATCTTATTATTAACTTATTACTGACTTGTTACTTAGGCTAATCTTTATTCTATAGTGCTATTTATAGTATAGTATAATATAGTAGTCTAGGCTAGCTGTGCTAGTATGCTTTACTTTATAGTAAAAGTAGAAGACATGCTTAAACAAATCTTATAAACTATAAAGACCTTAGTTATGCTAGCCTAGGCTAATTAAACAGTTGTCTTTCTTTAGCCTTTACTTATAGTAGCGCTTAGTAAGCAACAAGCTTATAGCTAGTTATTAACCTTAGCTAAGCGCTAGTAAGGCGCTAAAACTATTTTTAGTGCTATAGCTAGTAGTAGTAGCGTAGCAGCATTTAGCAAAAGAGTATAAATAAGTAGCTTATTAGTGCTTAGTAGCAACTTTATACTAGGTAGTAAAGGCTTTAGTAAAAAGGTAGAAGAGAATAAGGATAATAATAATAAAGAGAAGGAAGAAGTGCTAGAAGTAGTGTTTAATAAAGATAGTAATAAGTAATTAGTAGCTAAGTAATAGCTTACTAACTATATATTTTAAGTTTATAGCTTTAAAAATCGCTCTTAAAGTTAAATAAGTAGTTTATAGTATATAACTTATATAAAACAAAAGAAGTAGCCAACTAATATTCAGCTTATATATAGCTAGCTATTATTTTATAGTCTTTTAGTAAGTTTGCATTTTATAGCTAGCGTGCGCTAAGTGCTCTTTTAGTTCTTAGGTATTATACTTAGCTAGCTAACCTTTTTATAAAAAATTGCATAAGGTAAGTAAGTAAAGCAAAAGCAGTATAAAAGGTTACAATTTGATTTGTATGCAATTTTATGCTATAAACAGATTGTTCTAATTCTTAAGTTTCCTTAAGTCTATAAGGCCTTAGGAAAATAAATATCTATAAAATCTAGCTTATCTAAGTAGGTTACGTAACTAAGCACATACTACCTAAAACTGGTAACATAGACTATATATTACTAGCTTATTAAAGGTAGTATAGCTTATAGCTTATACTAACTAAAATATTAAAAAAACCTTAAAGTAAGGAATAAAAGTAATATACCAATTATTTTTATTTTACTAGAAACTAGGTTTACAAACCTTTATAAAGGTAAGTAATAATATCTTTAACCTTATACTTCTCCTAGTAAAAGCAAAGGTAAGGTAAGGCCTTAGCGTAAACTAATAATAACACACACACGTACTAACGCATATAACTATATATAAAGAGAGGTACTATAAAGCACCTCTCGTTATTAAAAGGTAGGGGTAGTATATAGCTAGTCTAAAAGAAAAAGAGAGGAAAGCTATATAAGCTTATCTTATAATCCTAAAAAAGATAATAAAATAAGCCTATTTAGTAACGTCTTAGGCGTAGTCTATGCTTTATAAGTATACTACGCGTATATCTTTATAACTAATTAATTCTGTCTATATATGTATGCTTGTCTATTCTTCTTTTAAAAAGAAGAAAGAAGAAAGGGGTTTTAAATATATAGAGTATGTAAGTAGTAATAGAAGGCATAAATTGTTTTGTATCTAATTAGTTAGAAAAAGTAGAGTTAGTTACATAACAATATAGTATCCTATAAAAGGTCTTAACTTATTATCCTATACGGCTAGAATAGGTATTTTTAGGGGTGTACTTCTCTTATTACTTACTCCTCTTTTAAAATAATTTATACCTTTTGTTATAAAAAAGGGTAAGTAAGGAGAGATAGGAAATTAACTATTTTAAAAAGGAAAATAAACCATACTTAGCAAGTATATATATAAAAACAAAAAATAATAATACGTTTCCTAAATACGTCTTAAATTAAGTTTAATTATTAGTTATTTTAGTATTCTTTTTAATCTTATATTATATCTAGCTAGATACTTACTAGCCTTAGGGTAGTAACGTTTAGTAAACGTTATTTAGCTAGTTTATCCTTTTAGCGCTACTAGCGTAACTACTATTATTATTCTAAGGCTTAAGGTAAAAAGAAGGAGAGGCTATCTTATTTAATTTATTTTAACTATAATATTCTTAACTTGCTTTGCCGTAGTTTTCTTAGCTTTACTATATAGGTTATTTAGTATAGTAGTAACATAATTATTGTCTAAGCTTAGCTTATAGCTCTTTTTATATTTTAACTTTTATAAGCTATCCTTAACCTAGTCCTTTACTTAGTTTTTTACTTAGTTTTCCTTTTAATTATTATTACTAACTATTCTTATATTTAACGTGCAGCTATACTTTATTTGCTAGTTATAAGAGGTAGTTTTAATAATGTTTATGCTTATAGTATTAATTAGTGCTACTAGGGGTAGCTTTATA